CCCAACTACCACCTCCCGGGGACTAAGTTGAGAAACACCCGTCCAAATTATAGAGGAGTTTGACCAGTGAAGAATGTGCTACATTCACTAAGGTGACTGCACTTCCCTATTGTCACACACACACACACACACACACACAGCTTTGAAATTATGTCTTTGTGGGGACTCTCCAATCATTTCTATGGGGAAAACTCTAATCCCAACATGACAACCTTAACCCCTATGTGGCCCCAACCTTAACCTGAATAACCAAACAAAATACAAGACTTTTGGCATTTTTACTTTTTTGATTGCATTCACAGATCTTTCTGAGGATCTGAAAGATCCGTTCCACAACGTCAAAAAAACAGGTTTACATTACATTGTAGGAGACCAAATGTCCCCCACAATGTAATAAAAACCTGTTTTTTGACATATGTGTGGAATTGAGTCTTTTACTGGTGTTCAATTACAGCTCCTTTTTTGGCAGCATGTAAAATGGGTTGTTTCTGGGCTTGTACTAGTATAAAAAAAATATTTAAAATCATTGAAAATATTTTGTGTAAAAAAATGAGCATGACTCAATATTACATATATATGACTTCTTCCGTCTGATTTACAAGGGTTTTCTTGCTGATGTGATTAACTGAAGTCCAGAATGAGTGAGTTTTGGAAATTTGTTCCTCAGTTATGTTTTGCAGCTCACTAAGGTTGAGTAAGATGGATTATACAACAGTATGCTGTAAAAACTGCTGAAACTATAGACTTCTTGTACACTCCCCCCCCCCCACACACACACACACACACATGATTCTTCCTAACTTTGTACTTTGAACTTTCACCAGAGCAACATTTAGTTCCGGGCGTAGGTTCTGTCTGTTAATGTCCAGTTAGGTTTTCCCCAATTCGTCCAATCAACAGTCGCGTGCCATAAGAGCTGAGTCGTCACACTGGTTCTGCTGAGTGCCAGTTAGCAAAAGACTTGGTTTGGCTGTAGAAGATTATGGCTTGAATTTGAATCCCATTTCCAGCTATAGGTAAGAATCAATACCTGAAAGACAAAAGGAGACCGTTGCTGCTCAGTCTTTCCATAGACAAGGTTTTACATTAGACAGGGGCGAGAATTTTTTAAAGTAAATGGCATTTGAGGGGCCATAACTGATACAGATGGCCCAATCTTATCAGTAACCAATGATGTTTTGACTTGATGAGTGACAGGCATGTGGGCACTCCGGGGACCAATCAGCTTTCAGCTGGGGCCAGTGCCCCTGTTGCCCCGCCCCTGTATACACCCCTGATATTAGATGCCTTTGATCAAGCAATTGAAAAAAAAACAAGACAGTAATTAAGTGGATCCATGGCTAGAAGCCAGAGGAAGAACTAGATAGACAAACCTGGTCTACAGCACATTGGAAAATCTGAGGACATCAGGACGACACCGTGGAGCAGAGAGGAGGATCATGGGAACATGAAAAAGCAACAAGCGTGGGTTTAGTCACAAGTGCATCATTAATCAAAAGATCTGATTGTAACGGCAAATCTTTCTCTGGATCACCAAGCTTGGTTATGTACGTAATGGGTGCAATGTCAGTACAATGATGGAGACGGATGGTCATTCCCTGAAGGGGGAGGGGAGGGGTGGGGGGTGAGTACTGGAGATGCAGATAAATTTAAGCCAAAGAAAACATGCAAGGTTCCTTTCGATTATGAACCCGAAGCCCATGGTCATTTGCAAGATGGGTCTGAAGGAGATGGTGCACGCAGCCAACGCTGTACAGATTAAAATTAGAATACCGTATTTGTGAGAGAATGATTTAATCCATTCCTGGAATAGCCACATTTTCCCCCTTTTTAAACGGAATGGCTAGGTAGTCTGTCCTGTGGATAAACAGGTACACAAAAGAGACAAATCTAAGTACCAGCACTGCATTCCTGTGGTGAAATATAGAGGTTTATATCAGGAAAATTTTGGGTCAGAGGAGATTCTGCATTCCCCAAAGACGAAATACACTTTCCTTCCCACAGCATTTGGATTTCATAGAAATGGAAAGAGAGGATGAAATAAAAGTAAAGAATTCCTGAATGTTGAAATAATCCAAAGTATCAATCTTAAGGCATTCGCACGCAGAAGACTTTTGAACTGAGGGCAGAAGATGCAGGTCTATAGTTCCACAGCTGTAGTGATTCAGATCCATCTGTCCATCCATCCACTATACATGGGATGTTTCGGCTTAATTATGGAACTCTTTAAGAATGATGGCCTGCACTGGACTACAATGATGCTTAACTGTGATTTTTTTCAGTAAATACCCAGTCATTTGTAATGGAATCGAGAAACATGTTTGATTTCCATGGTCAGTCCAAAATGTACCTCGTATTTATATATTTCAATATAGATTTGGAATGAAATTGCCCTTAGGCAGCTGATTCCTGTTAATACCGTAAAATGGTTTATATAAATCGCCCCCTGCCTGTTTTTTTTTCGTCTTTAATCATCCAGTTTGAATTTTCTGTATCCATTACCGAAATTTCTACTAGATATTTTGCAGTGATCTAAAAGGACCCTCTCTGCTCTTGGCTGCTGTGCTGTTTACATCAGACTTTTTTGTACATGCGATTACTGAGCAAATCAAATGCACTAATGCAACCACGCTCGTCTATAAAAAGGCGCATTATCCCTCTGTATACATCCATTTAATGCTCAGCGTCCACCTGCGGCACCGCACCTTTACACGCGCCCTGCGACGATTAATGGACTGTTATGCAACACACCCGAACTACATTGCAGTTGCTTATTCCCTGAATTGTTCCTGTTCACAGCCTGAAGGCAGCACATCTCTAAAAAGCTCCAAATGGACACTGCATGAATGAATTAAGGTGCAACAAACACGTCATCTTTAACAAGGAGGTGTCATGTATATCAATCCGGTCTTGTGTCGGTTTACTCTTAGTATTAATTCTATTCCTTCCATTTCACCCATGCTGTAACCTTATCCTACCTTGCAGTAGCCCACACTGACTGGTAGGTGGCAGCATTATCCACCTCAGAATCAGGGAACGTTCTATCACATTTGATACCTGCACCAACGCTCCTTGTGCCCTCCTTAACTACAGTCCCCACAGCAACCCCCCCCCCCCCATGATCCTCCATTGCTAGGAGGCTGCAGCTGACTCGTAAGCTAATTTGTGGCCTGCTGAATTCCAGTGGGAGCCTTTTTTTTTGTCCCGGCCCACCTGGCTTTCACACTCTCCTGGAAGCGAGGTGACTTCCTGTCTGGTCATCTCTGGCTGCGGCACAGAGAAGGGCAGCAGCCGGCAGGAATACTGAGCTACTCTTTGCGCTAAAGGTTAGTGGGGAAGAGAAAACCTAAATGCAAGTTCCAGTCCTCTGTGGGCTATCAGGCGCCTCCAAGGATTCTGAAAAGCCTCCCACTGTTTTTTCCTAGAAGAAGCACTAGACAGGTATTCAGAGAAAAGGAGTCATTCAGTCGTGCTTATTTACGACATTTTCCTTATTAGTTGCTTTACTTTGCAGTCAGCTGACGCTTTGGCCCGACCCTGACGCAGATTCGGGGAGGGAACTCACGCATTGCGCTGCCCACGGGCGTCGGCCTTGGAGACCTTTCTGTAGCAGTAGACCATCTCCACCAGCAGCCAGAGAGTCAGGAACATCAGCAGGGCATACATGACGTACTCTGAGTACACTGCCGTCAGGTTCCGACTGACTGTCCCGCAGTAAAACAAAATCACAATATTCCACAACATTCATTTCAATAAAACGACTTTGTGTGGCATTTCTGAAGTTTCAGGGCCTTTACCTTCCTCACTCACGACCAGATGGATGACCTTGCTGTAGGTGAAGGAGGGCGTGTAGGAGTCGAACTGGAACTGGCGCTGCACCTCGCACACATACGTGCCAGTATCGTTGGCCGTGACCCTCTGGATGCTGATGGACAGGTCCTGTAGGTCCTTGCTGCCGTTCCATATCACTCGGCCCTTCCACAGCCCGTCGATTTCCTGCGGCACCCCATCGAACACGTAGATCTGCCGACGTGCGACACAGAAAAGCGACGGCCTTTTGTCAGCCAGCCTGCATTTATCTTTCATTCCAGCCTCGTGACATCAACTTTTTGCAAAGTATCAAATCTTGGCATGACGATACTCCATCTGTACAGCCTCGGGTTTGACAGATTTTTAATGTCAAATGTTGAATTCTCAGTTTTACCTTGGGGGAAATGTTTAGTCTTAATTGACTACCCTTACATATGCATCTCCTTACATCCAAAATTGCATAGATGATTTTGTGGCTGTACTGTAAAGTTACCATAAAGGTATTCTTTAATATATATAGCTGTCGTTATTATAAATAAAAACTTATGAGAGTAATAAACAAATGCAGCCACCAGGACCCACCGGAATCCTTTTGTTAGCCTCCGTCACGTAATACCAGTCCACTCGTGTCCTGGCACTGATCTCCTCTCTCTTCATGCAGGAGATGCAGGTGAGCCTCATGGCATTACCCAGGACGGCCTCCGTGTCCGACGGTATATCCACACACACCTGGCTGCTCATCTGCACTGGAGAAGGCCGATACTGTTACCAGAATGCATTCTGGGCAACCATGGGCGTCATTAAATCCAATCACTCGGGGCTATAGCCCCAGGTATTTTAGCCCCGATGCCTACTTTCTTCCTTCAAAAAAAAAAAATCAAGCCCCAGGTAAACTTGACTTAGCCCATGATCTTTTCAATAGCTAGAAACTCCCCTGTGGGCAACTAAATGTCTTTGAAGCAGTAGTACTTAGATAGCCCAACCAAGCAGCGGTGGCAAGGCTGCAGCTGTGGCCCACTGCTGGTGACTAATCTGCGTAATACTGTAAGCTTCATAGCTCGCATGGCATTCAGTCATCAGATATGAAAAATAAATGTTTTGCAATAATGGTCTTCACATTCCGGCTAACAGTGTCAGGGTCAGCCCCTGCTGAGGTCCTTCCGTGTCCCTTCCCCGTTTGACCAGCAGGTGTCGCTGGTCATCCCATTCTTTATGTTAGTCTTTGTTCTGCCCGGTTGTCTGTCTGGTCATGTGGCTTAATGTGTTGAGCATGTGGTTGTCTGTGTATCCTTCTGTCCTGAGTACCCTTCTGTCCTGTGTTCAAATCCTGCCTCCTCTGTTTTTGTATTTTGCTCCCTAGTGTTTCATTTGAGTTTTGTTAGTCCTTGTGTCTGATTTTGTAGTTGGTTTTGGTTTTCTTCCTTGTGCCCCTGCTTGTGTCTTTACCTGTTTAGTTCCCTAGTGTTGGTTTATGTTTCCTTGGTTAGTTCTTAGTTTCCCTGTTTTAGTTCCTTTGAGTTTATTAGTTTCACCTGTGCCCTGTTTCCCTGGTCTTTGTCAATTAGTCTCACCTGTCCTGTGTTAGTATCGTTACCCCTTTAGTATTTTAGTTCCTGCTTCTGTTCAGTTCCCCAGTGGTTCATTGTCTATGATGTGTTCCGGTGTGTTGTTGCTTGTCTAAGCTAAGTTAGAGCTGTTGTATTGTCAGCCTGTATTGTTGCGTGCTCTGTCTTTGATTAAACCCCGTGTTCCTGATCCCTGGCTTCCTGCCTATTCGTCTGCGTTCCGGGCGCGTGCGTCATGACAAACAGGAATGCTGTGGGGTATCAGGGGCAGAGCCAAAAACACAAGAATACACAACAGGCAACAATAAAATTATTTTAGATGTGTATTAAACTGTGTTAAACCTGTTATATTTAACTACAGACGCTGGTTAAAAATTATTGTCATAGTTAGAGCTATCAACCAGATTAGCATAACATGATGGGAGTCTGGTAACGAAATACCTTTAACTCAAAAACAGGTTCAATGACTTATTATTGTTATTATTATTATTTATCATTGTCAGTATCATTATCATCATCATTAATATTATTATTATGCTTATTGGAATATCTTCTACCATGATTCGCCATTGCTAGCGTGTCTTGTTGACTCCTCTAGCGTATCCATATCTGATGGCTGGTGATTAGTCTGACGGGTCTGTGTTCTCAGAATAATTCCTACTCAGGCACGTTTTCCTCACAATCCCAAAGGAGAAAAATCCAAACAGGGAAAACTACTTTAACAGATTTTTAGATCGCACATTACCAAGTGCACTAATGTACAGTAGTACCATTAATGCGGCCAAAGGTTTTAATAGAATTTATAATTTATGAGTTGTTTGCAACATTAACGATACAATTTAACCCATGAACATTTTTCTGGCAGCCACAATGCAGAGCTAAAACAGAGAAATTCAGTACATACTGATTTGGTGCGTTATCTGCTTCAAGGATGCTCAGTTTTGTCAAAGCGTACAGTTCTCTTACATAATATGAGGGAAAAATATAATTAAAAGAAAAATCAAAAACTTGCCTTAAATGTTAATTTAGTTGCTGAAGAGCATACTTACCATCAAAGACAAAGAGAGCTAGGAAGAGAAATAGATTCCCTGCTGGCGGACCCATGGTCGGGTTTCTTGGTGAAAATAAAATTGTCTGAGGAGAGTGAAAGTTTTAGGAGTGAATTCGCCAAACCCTGGAGTTTCTCTTTCAATACCACGGACAGCGCCGCAACGTCCTCCTTTAATATGGATTTAAGGAAACTGGTCCTTGTTTGTGAATATTCATATTATCTTTGCAAAAAATGTCCTGAGATAACTTTCACAAGTTGTGAAAAAGACAACTTGGAAAAAAATATACCCGACTTTAATACAAGCAGGTTAACGATTGCTTCATTAATATTTATAATGAAATAGAGAAAAGTAGATCATTCGCCCTTTCAGCAGATATACTCGGTTAAACAAATCCACACCCTTCGAGTATTCAAACATTAACTCCAGCCTTCATCGAAGCGGCATAATAAAAATAAAACAAAATAAACCCCAATAATATTCTTGTTTAATTATAAATTTATTTTGCTAATGAGTACATATTATTCCCGATATACGGACAAAGTGTCCGATATTATTCTGAATTATGATAATTAAAAAAAAAAGTTTATAAATAAAAAAATAAACAAACAGACCAGAAAAAAAGTGAAAGTTTTTAAAAAGTTAAGCAACAGGAAAATCCCAGGCCGGACTGGTCTTTCGTGCCCCACACTTTAAGAGCGAAACCCTCACATGACGACATCAGCTACTGAGCGCCTGCTTTGTTTGCTGAGCGCTCGGCGCGCGCCTAGTTTCCTGGCGCGCATGCGTTACTTTGCCCGACTTATTTATCATAGTCATAAAACCACTCTGGCAAACAGTACATGTATATATTTGAACCATTGAAACATTATATATTCCTAACTCGACTCCTGAAAAAAAATAAACATCGAGCAGATGGACCAGGAGTTACTTCTTTTCAAATTCAAAGTATATATAATATTATACTGTAACATAAATTCACTCATGTGTGTCAAGTTGCTCAGAAAAATCGTGATCAGTATTAGTATTGTAGTGTTAGTATTCGATAACAGCATTAAAAATCTATTTCATTAGCAACGTTTAAACGTGTAAAGTCGTTGTGTAGTTAGGATAATGAGTGAGAGTTGTCAGTGGTAATTTGCCATTGTGTTGTTTGGGAGTTAAATGTGTCAGGAGGGATTTCTGCCGCGTAGAAAGACAGTGCTTCCGTATCAGCTGATTCCCGTTTTGTGAGCCGACTTCAAACTTAGAAACTAAACATTGCTGTTTGCTGCTGAAGCGAAACCTAATATGTTCTTATTATAAGTCGGGTCCCTATCCCTGTTTGTGAAAGCTGCTGTACTGAATTTCGTCATAGACCATTCCCATCAGGTTAAACTGGGTTGACTGGCAGTAATACCACTAATATAATTATGTCCGTGACTATTTTGGTTGAGTGACTCTTCTATTGGGAGCGTTTCCCAGATAAATAAATAATTCATGTGACCTTGAATATAAGAAGCATACTCAAAGTTATAATATGTGATTGGAACCTGTCTTCAGGAACCCAGGACAGAAGATATACAGGTTGGGACACCAGTTGATCATAGGGCTCACACACACTGTCAAATGCTAAGGGTTAGAGACAGCAATTTATGTCTTTATACTGAAGAATCCCACAAGAATAAAGAAAAAATATGCAAACACTGTGCATAGAGCTGGCAGAAAAAAATCATACCCACAAACAGGACTGTGTAAGTCTACAATGCTAACCACTAAACCACCAACTTACTTATTTAAAAATGAATGAGTTGGAAGAATGGCAACTAAGAATATCTACCATTATCTCCATCTTATTGTCCATTTGTGGATCAATGGGATTTATAGGTTAATTGACACAATTACGTCTAAAGGAACCAAACTCTTAATGCTTGCTGTTAATACTATTATATTACTAGTTCAATGTGTGAAGCTTAGCATGGTTGATACTGTATCTCCACTCCCCTCACTAAACCAATTCATGTCAATCACAAATGCAGACACATTTATGCCTGAAGACAGTGACTTTGAGGAAGACAGTAATCTCCGCACTTCTATGCCTTATGTAGATGCTTCTGGTGACAGTTCACTGAGCCCTTAATTACTCAGGAAAGCATTTGAACATAATACCTATCTGCTGAGCATTGTTCTTCACAATGATCAACCACAGTGGTAGCTCCTTTGCTGGCCCACCCACTCCCACTGGGGTCTCAGACATTTTAAGTCAGAGCTCCAAGACGAAGCGGCTATGCAGAGTACGACTGAAATGTATTCATACATCTCTGCGGTGTTTGTGGGAGGCAGATTATCTGTAGTGCCAAAGAAGCAGCAAAAAGTGCACGGGGGTGAAATCTCTAGAGAGGCTGCTACTGTTGTATCATTATTCAAGGTATAAAACTTCAAACATGCAAAAAAAAACAGAATAAAAAGAATCCCAGGATTCACAAAACCTGGTCATGATCTGATGTCACCCCCTTTCTCTGGGGACACTAGTAACGTGATCTGACTGTTAATCTGGACGTGAGGTAATATTACAGGATTGTTTTTCAACTTTGAAGCAGGCTTCACAACAGAGAGCAGGTGGGTCCTTCAGCTGGCGAAGGAACCACGGCTTTGGTATCCGAAGGGTTGCTATTGCTTGGGATGTTTAAACATCATGCTGGTTAATTTCTGTATAGAAAACTCAGACACCTTGTAACAAAGCATTATGTCATAACGTTACATTATAAAAATTTGACAGAATGTCATAAATTGAATGATGATAATAATAGGGTAATGTTGCAATATAAAATTATAATATAGTCTATAAATTTGTTACATTTTTGTCAAGTTATTATATACATAACTCGACAAAATGTAATAACTCGTTATATACATAGCGAGTTATTACATAACTCGTTGTTACACGGTCTATAACAATGCATTATGTAATAACCGCATTATGCGATGAAAATTTGTGACATTTTGTTGAGTCGTTACACAATGCAGCATTATCACAAAATGCATTGTTACACACCCATATTTAGAAAAAATAAAGCCTTCCTACCAACTTGCTGTCACAATTAATGCCACACTTTAAATCTATATTTCTTTGTAAATATGGATAAATATCTCACTATAATGACAAACAGAAACTTTGAGGCCACAAAAGGGGGTATTTCCTTTCACCCCCATAAGTAAACATCTTCCATCACCTCCCTGCAGGCCCTGAACTTAAACCAGCAATGTGAGGCTATGAGGTCCTATGTGGGCAAGGGAGTCAGAAGCAGACAGAATGTGACAGAGAACTAACGCATATATATACTTTCCTCCAAATCCAAGATGCACAAAGTAAACAGAAGAATTTAGGTTACTTAATCTGCATGCTGAGATCAGTAGAGGAGCATCTTTGCGACACAAAAACTGCAAAAAGTTTTCAGCTCACGAATCAGAACAAAATGAGTTCTAGAGCTTTCTGATTGCTCAGCAAAAAAAAAGGTTAGGGAAAAAAAAATTACCTGAAACTGAGCTGACATATTGCCAGCCAGGAAGTACAGATCCTGGGTCCAATATGTCAAACATCTGACGTTTCTCATTAATGTCAGTCTTGGGAGCAGAGCATCCAGTTGTCTTCAATTTGGACACAGAATACCAGACCCAGTGGTGGCCTTCAGCTTGTTCACACCTCTATGAAGAACATTACATCTGTTTTGCTTTTTTCGTAAGTGTCTTAAGAGGCAGCAACTTTTAATATATTTTTTGTTTGAATATAAAACCATTGGATTTCTTTCTATCGCTCCTATGTACTAAAGAGTAGTTTTTTCACTGCATAAACATATTGTGAGGATAACCTACATACTGCGAGCTAAGTGCTTAAAATAACCACACGCACAGGTCCAGAATCCCTTATCTTGCACAAAATGGGCATTATTAAGCACCTGTACACCATGGCCTACATAGCAAGCACATTTAATTCTACGTGAGCCATTAATAAAAAAAAATGCTGTGGGCTTCACTGCCCCATGACATGCCATAGCCGCATCAGAGAGGCATGCCACACAGATCGGGCTGAAATCAACCGATACATTTATTGGTTTATTTAAGGAAAATGTTTATCTTCCGGTGGAACATCCTGATGACAAACAGTCACATGCAGGGCAGTCAGTAGTTCTGGAATCCATCTCTTGGTACAATGACTTCTCCTAGTCACGCTTGTGGTTGTCGCTGACAAGAAAGAGCCATAAAGTGTCCAGTAGCTGGGAATCTCAAATTCCATGACTCGTTCCGTTAATATGACATGGGACTCTTCACTGATGGAAAACGTAGCAATCCAGTGTAACAGGTCCTCTGACATCCTTAATAATAATAGTAATAATAATAATAATACATTTATTTTATATAGCGCTTTTCTAGATACTCAGTCACTTTTCAAGGGCAAATCAGAGAAATAGAAACACATACACACATTAGGCAAACAGGACAAAACTCTGTCAACAATTATAGGCTATTTTGAAAAGATGGGTCTTAGAGTTTTTAAATTAGAGCGATGAGGAGTTCCTAATGTCACTAGGAAGGGAGTTCCATAGAGAGGGGGCAGTAACAGAAAATGTCCTGTCACCTCAATAGTGGTAATTAGTGATTTTAGGAAGAGAAAGGAGATTAGAGTCAGCAGGACGAAGGCAACGTTTGGGGGAGAGTCTGTGCAGTAGATCAGATAGATATGATGGGGCCAGATTATGAAGAGATTTGTAGATAAAGAGCAAAACCTTAAACACTGCTGGATTCTCACGGCACCCAGGCACATTTTAGTGGACAAAGTGTGTTCACCCGTGTTTTTAAAATTTGCTTTAAGCTGCCTGTGCTCAAGAGACAGAGCTTTTATGCCCTTAAGTCTGATATGCCAGAGGCCACCACGGCCGTCCATAAATGCAATGTAAGCTAAGCCTGCTGCTACCAGATTGCCACCAACTCTGGCATGCCACAGGACGCGGTGACGCGTGTCAGCTTTTCAAGATACCGGTGCACTGGCGCCTCCCACGTCCGTCACGCTCGGCGTCCTTAAGCGCAGATTCTCTCTGCCGTCGAGGGCCTCGCTCACGATCTCCTTCCCAATTTGTACGCCACAACATCTGCCCTGCCCCAGGCTCTGTGTGATGTCATTTCCTCAGCCTGCTTCGTTTGCAAGTAGAAATTGCATCGATGTAGCACCTGGGCTGGAAGAACAGAGGGAGCTGCACCTACTTATAAAACTTCAAGAATCTCCCTACCTTTTCCCTCCAGCTACTTGCCATGTACCGCGTGCTAATATAAGCGGACAAGTAGCAGAAGCTAATAAAACCACAGACAAACATCCAGTGCTAATAAACAAATAAGAACTGATTAAGTGATTTTCCGTGGATGCTCTTTAACTGATTAAGCAGCAGCTAATGCCAGCCGTAGGGCTGGACAATATGGCAAAACATTTATCACAATGTATATTTTTTTCATTTCAGTGGATAAAAATAATTACCACAATATAATTCAAGTCATTATCTCTTTGCTTCAAGGCTCCGTTTTTTGCTTAAAATTCCCTTAGGATCCCCCTCACACAGATTCATAATATGGAGAAAATTGAATGGACTACAGACTGAAATCACATTTTAGTAAATCAAACAAAATGAATTTTTTTGTCGTAGGACACGAGACCAGTAATACGCCGACAGTGCGGTTTTTTTTTCTTCTTCTTCTTTTTTTGTAGTGTTCTTCTCTGCCTGTCTGAAAAGGCTCCGTCTGCAGACAGTTTTAGAGCAGCGGCTGGCTTCCCATCGCAGCTTCAGCCCAGCGGCATCCAACGCATCAGCAGTAAGATACGTGAGCCTATGAACTCGCCCAATTACGCCATGTAGATGGGCCACCTGCGTCACCAAGCGTATTACCGTTAAGAAAGGAACATCGCTACCAATACACGAGTGCAGATGTCGATGACATTTTATTGCACGTTTCAGCTACAATGGACAAGAATGTGCTTTTTTTTTTTTGTACAGTTTTTGATTACACTTGGAAAGTTTTACATACTGGAGGAGAGATGGACTGGTTCTGAACCAAACTTTTTACATTTTCTTCAAGTTAAAGGACTATGGCACCACATTTAGTAAATGTAAGAATATGAAAGTGCAGTTGAAAGTGCCGTTAACTCAGGCAATCGGCCTTGCTGTACGTTTGATGTTATAAGTTGTCTATTCTTAAAAGACTCCATATGACTGGCTGGAATTACGTTTCTGTAAGTAAGTAAATTTTATTTATAATCCACATTTCCTGAACACTTCATGTTCACCAAAATGCTGCACAATTCGTACCATCAAAACAAATAGATAAAATAAATAAATAAATAAAACTAGTCCAAAATAGGAGATTAAACACCCCGAAGGGAAACATCTACACTCCAGAGGGGCGAAGTAAACAGTACTGCCTTTATCAGCTGTACTCCCTGAGGTGATAAGGTGCACTATCAGCGATGGTGGTGCAGGAGGTGGTGTTTCTGTTCAGCAACCAGAAGGTTGCAGGTTCAAGCCCCTTTAAAGTGTCCTTGAGCAAGACACTAAACCCCAAATTGTTCCTGCTGAGCTGGTTAGTGCCTTGCATGGTTAGTGCCTCTGCCACTGGGGTGTGAATGTGTATAAGAATGGGTGAATGTGAGGTAAAGCACTTTGAGTGCTTGAAAGAGTAGCAAAAATCTGCTATATAAATGCAATCCAGTCCATTTACCATCAGGAGATAAGTTTATTGAAATATCTCATTGTTTATATTTTGTATTTCTATGATGACAAGCCAATACATGCTGCCACAGTGGTTTGTACAGTTACCTCACACTTCTGGGACCAGGGTTCGAGTTGCTACTGTGGTTCTGTCTATGTGGGGTTTGCATGTTCTTCTTGTGTCTGGCAGGTAGTCCAGCCTCCTCTCCCAGTCCAAAAACATGCTAAGGTGAACTGGAATTACCAAACTGTGAACATGTGTCATGGTGCATGTGGCACCCTGTTCTGGGTTATTCTCAGCCTTGCACCCATAGCTTCTGGGATATGATCTGGACCCCTGTGATGCTGAACAGCAGGTACAGAAAATGAATGGACAAGTCAATATATCAGTTTCATCCTAGTCTCACTTTTCTTCACAGAGCTCTGCTAAATCATTATTAAAGACCAGGAGCCAGTCATGGCAACTTACAGACTTAAAACACAAAAAGCCAGGTTAAGCCTATATGAAATTTAGTCCCCTGAAATATTTCATATAGAGTCACTAGCTGTTTCAATGCATCCCCCACTCATACAGCATTCTGCTTTTGCGCTACAGTATTATGAACACCATTTGGCAGAAAGCAGTCCTGCATCGATTATTTGTTTTCTGGAGGAAAATCACAAAGAATTCACAATAGGCGAGTCATACCTATGACAGACAAAAAAGATAAATGAGGAGATCCAAAGGGTGTGATTAGTTTGTAGATTTAATAGGAAGGATGTTACATCTAAATTCCTTAAATATAACGCCCAAATGTATAATGGAGCAGAAGGTCTCAGTTCAATATGTCTTGGGGGGAAAAAAGGACTTCTTAAGTAATGTAACATCATGGTCCAGAATAAGCAGATGCAGAGGAAGGATCATTGTTTAGCCACCTAGTGTTCATTTACGGCACAGCAATATTTTAACATAAATTTTAACATTTTGATCACCGTCCTATGCCTGTCTATATACAGTGTTCATTTAGAAAATGATGCCGGAAAGTAACTGTTAGATTTTTTTTTTATTAATTTGAACTGCAAACAAACATTAAATTTATCTGTGGTGTGGGCAGTCTTAATATTAATCTGATTAATAAGGTTCAATACGGGAAAACCACAGCTGCATGTATCTTTAAACATACTGCTGTCTTTCACACTGCAAGTCTGTGCTGCTGGAATGTTTGCACTAGGATATGCTACAGTATGCACACTTGCAATGTAATATTTAACCAATAGGGGGCAGTGAGTGGCTTTGTGGGTTAGGATTCTCCAGGGACTGGCTGCCTCTGCTCTCTCAACCCCATGTCAGTTTGGTCAAAAAGTAATGGACACTGTGTCAAAATTCACAAGCATTTACTAAACACCGGACTCAGTAATGTCCCTCCATTGGCATATTTGTCAGGACTGGTTCCTGTCCTATGTCAGTTCCCTGTTTGGCCAGTAGGTGTCACAGGCCATTCCATGTCCTCTGCATCCTAGTGTGTTTCCCTGTTCCCCGGGTCACCACCAGGCGTAATTGGGTGAGCCTGCAGCTAAGGATCACGCATCCCAACCAGCACATTTATCATGTCTGTAATTAGCTTCGTTTTTTTTTTCCCATGTTAATTATGGTCTTGTTTTGATTATTGCTTTTTCTATCTCTGTTGCCGGTTATTCATGCATGTGCCTAGTTTAGTTATGTTTCTGTTTTACTTGTGTTTCCCAGTGTCTCTGAATGGTAATTCTTTTTTTTTTTTTACTTGCCTACTTTACCTGCCATGAGCCGTCTGCTTCTGGCTAGCTACCTGAGGCTAATGCTGCATGCACAGAAAACATAACGGGAAGAAGAAGTCATTTTCTCTCAATTATTAATATAGACTCATGCATTCGCGAAACTACAATATGCATTATTTTATGTGCAGTATTTTACTGTATTTATAGCTGATATCTGTCTGATTCTGTTCCGTTCCCAGTTTCTGAGTCGCCTTGCTCTCGTCCTGATGGTTGTTGCATTGTTACCTGACCCTAACCTGTCTCACTGATCTCTGATTTGCCTTTCGACTTGGACTAAGGAATTGGGAGAGAGCAAAAATGTGGACTGGACTAGTGGTTCCCAAGGACTGGATTGAGAAACCCTGGTCAAACAGACCTACACCAAAGTTGGGTAAATATTATTTTCATGTACAGACAGTAAACCTTAGGTACCTTCCGGCTAGGATTGCATTAACAGCCATGCATCTTCATGTCCAGGCAAGCAGAGGAAAGCAAAGTGACATTAACCGCAGGTAAACTAAAGGGTCTCTCTGGGCTTCTGGTCTGGTTTCAGTCATTTCAGCGGACCGCTGGATTTAACGTCGCATACGGAGATCTAAGGCTTAAAATGAGGGTTTCGCTCTGGCTGGGATTGCTGTTCTGCTTCTTCTTGGTTAGAGGTAAGTTTATGTTACCAGAAGCATGAAAGCTATGCAGTCAAAAGTCAAGTCAAAATATCTTTAATGTCTGTAAGATACACTGAGATACAATTATGATCTCGTTGGTAAGAGTTTTATTGGCTGATTTATGAATATACAGTTCTGCATAATAATGTATAAATACGCATCAAAAATATACATTTCCTTTTTAAATCTAACTGTGTGGTAAGAATGTCCATTTTTCTATCTTGTATTTGTTCATCCTGGTTTCAGGGGACCTGCACCCTGACCCAAACAGAATAGGTTATCAGAAGCAGGATATTTTTATGGACAGTTTATAGGTCATTTAACCCTGGTACATTCCTCTGGACTGGGGGGGGATGAAAGGACCTGAAGGAAATGCCTGACATGGAGGGAGCAGCCAAACTCCCCCCTCATACACTAGGGGTGGGATTCAGACCCTCTAACCAGGAGATATGCAGCAACATTGCTACCCCACATATTACTAAATCAGTGTTTCTCAGATCAGTCCTTGGGAACCCCCTGACCGGGGGTGGGGGGAAAAGCAAGAGTGTGGACTGTCTGGGGGGGTACCCACTGCTTTACAATACCATCAAGTTAAAATGCATGTACATTTTTAACTTAAATAGTCTAATGTGGGGTAATTTAGCAATTTAGTAATTTCCTAGGTGATTAAATACATGCTTTCAGGCGTGGGAATAATAATTTAATGAGTGCATGATTAACAAGAAGAGAAGAGAGAGCATTAGAAGTTATTTTCCATATATTTAACATTGTGCTGCACTTAATTGACTGCTTATGGGTTTATTTTGAATCACAAGGTAGCATTTTAAGCAGAACGGAAAAGTAGCAGGTCTTCCCTCTTCCTGTACCACGTTTACATCCCTGCTCATCATTCCTCATTCATGTTTAGTAGATGCTTTTATCCTAAGCAACATACAGCATCCAAGAGCTGCAGAAATCAAGCTTTGTGGATAAAAAATGATTGATCACGACGATGTAAATTTGTTGGACTTGAATTTGAAAGTCTTCATAGAAATGTTTGTTCATTTCAGAATGATGCCGGCCAGTTTTTTCATGCAAAAAAAATCGGACTCCGCATGAAACGGCCTTGATGGTCTGGTAGTTTCTGTTTACCAATAAAGATCCTTAGTGTGAAGGTCCTGGGTTGGGTCCCTGCGTCGGTCGTAGGACCTTTCTGTGTGAAGTTCGCATGTTGTCCCCATGTTCGCGTGGGTTTTCGCTGGGGGCTCCGGTTTCCTCCCACAGTCCTGCCCAGGGTTGGTTCCCGCCTGCGCCCGTTCCCGGGATAGGCTCCAGTCCCCCCCGCGACCCCGGTTGGGATTAAGCAGTTACGGTGATGGATGGATGGATCCTAAATGTGCTGTCATTACACCAGGGTTTTTCTGCTGTCCAGGCAGTAAATAAATTCAGCCAGTGAATTTCTCCAGCTTTGTTGCTCACTGGTTGAATGACCAGTTTAATTAGCTTTTTCAGAATCAAGAGTAAAGTGCCATCTCAACTGTGCTCTGAAACTGGTGTAGAAGATCTGACCCCCACCCTCCTGCCCCCCCCCCCCCCAAATCAGGCACTGCTCTGAGGGTCTTCACCACCCTTGGGGGGCGGGCCGAACTCCCATGTAGGTATGAGTATGAGGACGCGGGGCCCATCCAGGAGCTGTCGGTTCAGTGGAAAGGTCCTCAACACCAGTTGTTGTGCCACTTCATCAAGCACAAGGCATTCCGTAACTGCAGTGGGGGCTACGCACTGGACTACGCACCTGGGCGGATCAGGCTCTGCGTGGAGGAGGTGACGGCGGCCGACGCCGGGCCACATGTCTGCTCCGTCAGCAAGCAGCACGCCTTCACCGACTCCGTCATCGAGCTCCACCTGACCTCACGTGAGTGAGCCCGCGCTGCATGTCCACCAGCATTAAAACATTTTCCTAGAAGAAGCCATGAGACATGCCCATCCTCGCTTTGTCTGTGTCATCGCCCTGCCATGCCCCTTTCCTCCGCAAACCATAATCCAGAGCTGGATTGGGATTAAAGATCGGCCCTGGAATTTGGGGTGCTCCAAGATGACAGGGGATCGAGGTCCCACCACTATGAATTTGGTCAAATGTTGGTAAATTTTGCCAGTCCACGAACCCATCAGCCTACTGGGTAAAAGCCCCATATGCCAGGCAGCCAGCCCAGGGCTGCCAGAATCCCCTCCTGCCATCAATAAGCTTTCCTCTTGACTTTTGCTAAGGTGGGGTAGTTCCACCGCTGAGGAAAGTGTTGCATCGGGATTCATCACTAACACAGCTTGTTTTGTGTCTGTGCAGGATCTGCCACTGCTGCTCCACTACCCAGTAAATGTCTGTCAGGTAATGCAAAGATCACATGACTTAGTTTAAACCCATTAACCAGGGGTGCAGTAGGGGCATAGATACCCTGGCAGCTTCAGAGGGGCGGGCACAATAGAGCAACCCTAGAATAGATAAAATTATAGAATTATATACTGTCAGGCAGGGCAAGGGGATCGAAAGTGACATTTTGTCAAGGGGCTCAGAATTTCTAGCTACACCCTTTACCTGTAACCTATGCAATCCGGCAGTATTCAAGAAGCGTCATGCAATCTGGCAGTAATTTAATATGTGCTGCAGGTTATATAATAAGTTGTGGAGCTTATGGAGATCATTATACGCCAATAAAGTGGAAGCTAATGTCATGTTTTATCTGCCTCTGCCCAAGGAAAGGCAAGAGGCTCTATTCCTCTGGTCAGCTGGGTTCTGCTCTTGTGCTTCTGGGGGAGGAGATAATGCAGGAGTGAGATCATCCCGGGGACCAGAATAAACGGAGCATCACTGTAATAGCGCTTGTTTGCACATACTCTTCTCTGTGTGGCAAATAAAAGCACAATATGGTGATAAACAGATGGCCGAGTCGACAGCCATGTGCCAGACAACTAAAGCTGTATTTGCTTGCAGTGCCTCCATATCGGTGACAGGTGCGTGTTGAGCAAAATGCTGTAAATACACTTTAAAATAGATAGAAATCAGAATGTGCATCACGGTATGACACGGGAACAGTTTGCAATGGATAAGTAAGGCTTAGCCTTTTGCTAAATGAGGAAAACAGGTAGCATGCATTAGGTTTTATAATGTTAACATCAAAATATTACTGGTGGCATTTAATGGAGGTTAGGATTAAAGATATCAGGGATGCCAATTTTCTTGCATCTGGTGTGACATACTTTCAGAATCTCAAGCTCACGCAAGAAATCTTATGGCAAATCTATAGTATTCCATTATAAACCTAAAGTTAGCTACGTCAGAAGCATTGGGTTAGTTTGCAAACCCTGTAGAATATTTACATGGTAATAAAAAGTGTTACAGTCATGTTCTAAGGTTTTACATATCGAGACATAATAAGAAAATTATCTGGTCCTTAGCAGGTCTTAAAATGAGGTAAATGCAACCTCAGACGGACAACAACACATAACGTATTACACTGCATTGCATTACATTATTTATTTAACAAAAACTAACCCAAACTGCAGAAGCAGTGTGTGAAAAATGAAGTACACCTTTACTGCTTCCATAGGTGCTGCTAATCAAATGCACTTGATTAATTGATCATCAGCAAGTGTGACCACCTATATAAAAGCAGAGGTTTTGGCAGTTTGTGGGTCTGAAGCATTCAGGTGTGTGTTAACACAATGTCAAGGAGGAAAAAACCCAGGAGCTACATCTCAGACTCTACGGGACTCAGCATGTGGAATGTTAAAGGTCATGACAGTACAATTAGAAAAAGACTGAACAAGAATGGCTTGTTTGGAAAGGTTGCCAGGAGAAAACCTCGTCTCTCTAAAAAGATCATGGCAGCATGGCTTAGGTTAGCAAAGTTGCATGTGAACAAACCACAAGACTTGTGGAACAATGTCCTTGGATGGACGAGATCAAAGGGAAGATGTTTAGCCATAATGCACAGCGCCACGTTTGGCAAAGACAAAACAGCATATAAACACACACGCCTCATACCAACTGTCAAGCACAGTGGTGGAGGGGTGATGATTTGGGAGTGTTTTGCAGCCATGGGACCTGGGCACTTTGCAGTCATTGAGTTGACCATGAACTCCTCTGTATACCAAAATAGTGTCAAATGTGAGGCCATCTGTCCGGCAGCTAAAGCTTGACTGTAAATGGGTCATGCAACGAGACAATGGTCACCGTTGTAGCAAATCTACAACAAGAAGACTGGGTCAAAATTCCCTCCACTGAGAGACTGATAAAGTCATACAGAAAATTATTACTTCAAGTTATTTGCTGCAAAAGTGGTTCTACAAGCCATTGAATCATGGGGTGTACTTAGTTTTTCAAACAAGGTTTCTCCATTTTAGCTTATTTTTTGTTAAATACATAATGACAGGGTGGAATTTGTTGTGTGTTTTTTATGCCTGAGGTTAGTTTAAAATAATTTTAGAACCTGGCAAGGACCAGATGATTTTTAAAACTATGTCTTGATACGTAAAACCATAGAATTTCTTTTTCACAACTGTACATACATGTAAATGCAGGTGCACATGTGTGTAGACTGGTCTCAAATTGAAAATCACACACCAGTCAGCTGACCAAAGTTGGCAACCCTGGATGTATATATATAATTTTCCACCTGTTTTCTGTTGATTTATTTTATTATGAAAGAGTCTTGCAGAGGGGTCATGCACGAAAAGCTTAAAGTTATTTAAGAAGACTATATAAATTTACATATATTTTCTCTATATTTGTTGTGGTCCGTGAAGCTGAATCAAAATCTTTACTCAAGCAAGGCTGCAGTATACTTTGGAAAATATACATACTGTTTCCCTTTAATGTTTATTTGTTGATACAGCCTGGGTACAGCTACTCAGTATGTCATGCAGACTAGCATACAGATAAATGCTTCCACAGGGTGCTCTCTAGCTTTGCAAAAGTATTAGCCGCTGTGGTTAATTACACTGGAGTTTCCTTAGCCATGCGTAAAATGTATTAGCCGCTGTGGCTAATTACACTGGAGTTTCCTTAGCCATGCGTAAAATGTATTAGCCACTGTGGCTAATTACACTGGAGTTCCCTTAGTCACGCGTAAAATGTATTAGCCACTGTGGCTAATTACACTGGAGTTTCCTTAGCCATGCGTAAAATGTATTAGCCACTGTGGCTAATTACATTGGAGTTCCCTTAGTCACGAATAAAATGTATTAGCCACGAAATCATTCTCTGTTTCTACAGACGCAAAAAGGCCACATTTGTGTGGCTGTGATACTGTGTGTCTATGGACAAGTAGTCTGGCACTTTCTAGAAATGTTTTCATGGCCAGAATGCATTTTTATTTCATCCTCACACAAATTTCCCCAATACACCCTTTAGGTCTTAATTAACCTAGAGAGACCACATATAGCATGAATGTATAGATTTGATATTATGGACAATTTAGCTCCTAATCACCCTCTGTAGCGCGCTAACCTGCCTGGTAGTAGCTGCATGGTGAGCGGTTTATCTGTGCTTATTAGCATGATTCAGCAGCCAGGAAGACAACTTAGCGGTGTGTTGGTACTTCGGTAAGCATCAAAACCTATAATGCATGAGTTCATTTAACATGTAATTGTATGCAGTAATAACAGACTACTCACATTTGTCCTCTAAAAGATTAATAAATGAAATTCTCAACTTGAAATGTTTAATAAATGCTTAAATTCTCAATGTAAGTTGAGCAGCAACTATGGATGTTTATGTTGAAAAACTACATTGTAACAGTAACGAACAGTATTAACAATAAAAACTTTAGTAAAAATTCTTATCTGTTTAAATTGATCTTTTTTGTATGCTCCATTTAAGAAGTACATTTTAATGTTTATTACAGACTGGTACATAGGTCACAATATTAAAACCACCTGCCTAATATTATTTAGGTCCCCCGTCTGCTGCAAAAACAACTCATTTATTTATGTTGAATATTTATAGATACAGAGCAGAACATTTATTTATTTAAAACAGCCGACTGATTAGCAAACAAACTGGGAGGGCCGGCACCCCTCCAACCCTGCCCTCTGTGTTTTGTCCCATTTGGCCAGCAGGTGTCGCCGACCATCCTGTTTCCTCCGTCTTGTAGCCCTAGTCCCTATGTGTTCTGCCATTACCTGGGCTGCTGTGTAGTTTAATGGGTTGAGTGAATGCCTCAGAAACTGAAACCGCTCCAAGTTGTGGGCTCAAGGCTGACCTTAGGCCTGCCTGAACTTTTGTTTACTTTTTGGCTTCATTTTATCCTTAGCTTGTGGCTTTTCCTTGTATCTGTTGGTTTATCTTTGTGTCCTTGTTCTGGTTTACTTGCCCTGTACCCTGTTTTATTTTGTTCTGCTTGTACTTCTGTTCTTAGTTTTTTACTAGTATTCTTAGCCTCTGTGTTTAGTAATATTCCCCAGTTTCCTGCGCTTGTTAACTGTAATGTATTCCACCTGTTTCTTGTTGTCCTGTACCTGTACAGATTGGTTGAGTTATAGTTTGCACCTGTCCAGCGTCATGTCTTTTTAGTGCTGTGTTTAGGTGCCTTCTTTTAGCTCTGTTTCTTGTTTGTTCGTTGTGTTTGCGTCTCTGCGTGGCACTGTGTCTGTTAGCAATGGCCTTGCTGGTTTCTCCCTGTTAGTTACTGTGGTTTTCCTGTGTTTCCTCTTGCTTTTAGTATTGCAGTTCCCGGTGTTGCTCCCTGCCTTAACTTCTGTTTCGTTTTATTATTTTTGGTTTCACCTTTTCTATTTCTTTTTCGCTCAATTATCCCCGCTTGTCGGAGCCTCTCTGTGGATCATCCCCTCCTTTCGACATGCCCCGTCTCAACAAAACCAATCACTAGTTTCCACCCACATGTCCAAGTGAAGGTTGCAGTGGTATCAGTATGTTTTCAAGAAAATTTGTAAATTGCTTATCGCCAAAACATATTTAGCATAAGACACGCAGGCAAAACTGCTATAGTCGGGATTGCGAGTTTGGTCTCCAGTTTGACAAAATGATTGAGAAATAAAAAAATGGCCTGCTTGAGTTTTTGGGGTCATTATAGTAGAGTTTAGCCAAAACCAGTGAGCTGTGGAAAGAAAAACCCTAAACCAAACATATTAGAAACTAATTATTTATTGTTCCTACAGTAGAATCAGTTCTTTAGGTAATGTTTATTAAACTTACCCACCATGGTCTTTACAGGATAACATATAACCATTACTATATTACAGCCATAGCTTATGAATTGATTAGTTATCTGCATGCATTTATCCATCTGATTACCTTGATTAGCATCGCAGAAAGCCCTGGAGCCAGTCCCAGGCAGCACGGGGTGTAAGGTTGGGCCACACCCTGAATGGGATGCAAATCCATCACAGTGTATTAATTTGGAGTTTCGGAGAAGTTTCCTCAATCCGTTTTTTTAGCGCTGCAGTAACAATCAAAGGCCACTAGATGACTCCGGTACTACATTGCATTTATGATCACATTTCGCAAGAAATATTTTATAGACTTCAAATCCCACCCTACCCCCACCCGTGACCCAGACCTGGCAAACATAACAAGATATTTCTGTTGGCAGAAGTATGCACTGTATTGTCAGATTGTCATAAAGAAGCTGAATAAGATATTTAAAAACAGCCACTGGAAAGTTTTCATTTTTCCTTCCAGGGCAAGTGCCAGTACAAGCAAATGTCATTTTTTTTGGGCGGTTTTCAGCAGCTCTGATTTATGAAATGCAAAAGGCAGCCCTTTGGCCCATTTGTGGTGCCAAGCCCTGAATTTGTACTACAGAGGAACATAAATGCAATTGAAAAGTAAACAGGAGAAACTGAGGTGTACTAGAGGAATGCATCATGCCATCCATCTTCAGACCATTTATGCCATATTGGATCATGGAGAGTCAGGAGCTCATCCCAGGCAGGACAAGATGCCACATGGAGAGTCAGGAGCTCATCCCAGGCAGGACAAGATGCCACATGGAGAGTCAGGAGCTCATCCCAGGCAGGACAAGATGCCACATGGAGAGTCAGGAGCTCATCCCAGGCAGGACAAGATGCCACATGGAGAGTCAGGAGCTCATCC